GCTTCCGAAATCTGTATTTATCTATCTTAAACTGCTCAGGTAGTTGAACTGCATAAACATCACATGTGATTGTGTGACACAGCAAGTCGCGCTTTTCAAAAGGTAGAACGGATCAGTCTAGGAATTTTGTACCGTTTTACACGTATCCTAATTACCTCTTTGCCTGCTCCCTTTTTCTCATTGACCTATGTTCATCGCCTTTGCTTTCCTTTTCATAGTGGTGCAGTTTCCGAGATGAGATGTCTACTCCAAATCCTTTTGACATCCTCACCGTCCCTCTCTGTCTTCTGACATCTCGCGAAGACGGTACTACTCACGTATAAGAATTATTTGAAAAATAAATGAATTTTATTCATTGTAAATTCCCGAATTATTTAATTTACTATATTCTGTATGGTTGCTAAGGCAGGCTCCACAGATACACTACCTATCAATTCTTGCAGAACTGGACAGGCTGACTGCCAGTACATTGTGCATTTCGATGTCCGACGAAAAATGCTTTCCTTCTGGAACATCTATGTGTTTGGCTCACTACTGTCTTCAACCTGTACAGACTGATATTATATATCTGGTATCGATTTTACCTGCCTTCTAATGGACTCATAGATAATATCAACCGAAAACGCTTAAGATAGCACTTATCTGCATCATTCGTTCTAACCGATGATTTTAATGACTCTTTGAGGAAGTAAGGATAAGAACTTAAATATATAAACAGAGCTACTAAGTATGTCACTGCGTATGCCTCCATAATGATAGATAGCAAACCCATATCTACAAACTTAAAAGGCTACTTCACAGCACTGATCTGGTTATATGTACGCCATTACATCTATCATTTTATACATTTAGAATCTAGAGTGATCCATTCCCAATATTTGCGTCTTTTAAAGGAATATGAATGTTGGACATATTTAGAGTTCCAAGGTTTCTTTAAGAGTGAGAGACTTAAACTTGTTTCCCTCTCTAGCTTTTCTTACGAATGAAAAAGTAAGGTGTGTAAAAATAGATGATACTGTGAAGGCCGTTACTGATCTGTTGTCCAGGCGTTCAGAAACCACAAATCTGTATTCCTACGTCATCAGACAGACTTCCTAGATACATATCTAAAATCATAACAGAACCCTATGAAGAGAACTTTAGTTAAGACATATAAGGGAAACCCTAGTCTCAGAATATTAGCAATTCCATGCTGAAGCATTCGTTGACTAAGTCTTTTATTAGTTTCCCTTCTTACTCTTTGTAATAGAGGTTGTAGCAGGGCATTTAATGTTTGGCATTGAGAAATCCAAAAAACAAAACTTGGAAAAGTCAGAATTTCAATAATGTTCCGTTATATATTAAAAAATGCTTTTTACTATATTTGCCCATCAGCAGCCGAGCGGTAAAATCACTGAACACTGATAGTTCGGCCCGTGGTTCGAATCTCGGAGAATGGGCTGGCTGCATGGGTGTTTTCTTGATTTTCCCCATGTGTAACGTATATACGTGGCAGTTTCCTTTAAAGAGTCCTCCAAGAAGGCATCCCTCCCTTTAGTCAGATAGCCCTTGAATGTTTAGCTGCAATCAAACAAAACGAACGAAATCGCCAGAATTTTGCACTAACGAATCACCTACGCAAACTTCTGGGGGAGGATGGCATACTGCAGCCTTGATCATTATTTAGAAGAAAATGATAATACCTTTCCTAATCACAATGGTTTTCTAGAAAAGGAGATCAATACTGAAAATGTACTTCTGTTCAGAGCTATATTTTCTGCTTTTTTTAAGAGGAATCACTTGATGTCAATATTTTTGTGACAAAGAAAAAAGTGTATGAATTAGAGTTTCTCTAAAATCTCTTCATTGTTGTTTGCAGAGACCTTCCAATTTTTAAACAAAAAAATTTCTCAAAGAACTGGTTGTTTCTCATAAAAACTGGTACTTTGTTGTTTTAAGTCATTAACTCTTTCCAAAATTTTTGGAGTGTTATGTTATGTAGGTTATTAAATTATCTGCAGTATCTGAAACCTTTTGGCTGACTGCCAATAACCATCAATATTTTTTAATGGGCACTGCTGTTCTTTAGTTTAGTTTTAAAATCTGTTCAGTCCTTTTTTCACTGTCTTACACTGTGTAAACTTACACCGGTAAACTAGGTAGGCGTTCATCTCCACTGGCTGCCAATTCATAGGCCAGTAGTGATCTTCATGGGTACAAGTATTCTTGGATTTAATTTTAAAAAAGTATCTAAATTTACTGCAATATCACATATCAGGGATCTTTAACTTGTAGGTCTCTGGCGATGAACAACAACATTGGCAGGCATCCATGTTCTTCAATATAATTTTAATTAAAAATGCTATTTAAATTTAGTGCACTACTCTGTACTAGTGAATCTGTTTGTTAACAAGTGACAACCAAGCTTTAACTTTTTTTGGATCGAATGTTATAAATTATGTAGGGGCTACCTTTCTCATGGAAACAGCCTCACATTAACTGAAGATTTGGAACATCTATTCACAGACTACGTGGTTTGCTTCTAGCAGTCACTGCACCTAAGGTACAAAAAGTTCTCTTTGATTTCAAAATTTTTTAGAAATCTGATCGTCCAGTGCTTAGTAACTACCATTCTTGGTACAAAATGCATCCATTCTGCACTGCACTCCTGCCTTCGGATCTCACGTCCAAAAGGTACACACAACTATTATTATGCCTGAATAGAGGATCTAGAAATATCCCTCTGCACATATGAAACTTTTAAATTATTTCAGAATTTTATTAAAGATAACAGTCATGTTCTTAACTGTAGCATTTTTATGAATACAGACAAGAATATAATAATTTATATCTATACAAATGTTTCTAGGTTCCCTAATCACATCTGTTTGGCTGTTATGTATAATACAACACTACTTTAAATACCTTATATGGCATTGAACCTATGGTAACGTTTATACAAAATCTTTTTTATAGATATATTAAGTTTGTGATGAAGCCACGGTTAATTTTTATACTCCATAAACACAACATGGTTTAACATAGTAAAATCTAAATTTTTTTTTTGTAGTTTTTTCAACAGTTCACAACAATTTTATTTATATGTAGTAGTATTTTAAAACTGTACTTGGACGTATTCTTGTCTTTACTTACCAGTTTAGAAAATCTGGAAAATGTTTGGTATATATACTTGATACTGTATAATGCATTTAATTTGCACCAACAAAACCAATTCTTATTTTTGTTTCGCTCATACCTTGCAAAGTTCATAGGATATGTTTCATGTTTTGCAGGTGTAATCTTTGGCATGAAAATACAGTTATATCTTGAACAGATCACTTCCACATACACAAATGATATACCATAACACAAAATATTCTGGTGAAATCCTATCTGAAATGATCTAAATTTTTTGTGTCATGTTTCTCAGTATAAATCATACACACCAATACAGAACAGTATCTCGTATCTAAAAAATATTTTTTGGTTCCTTACGTATATCATTACAGTATTCATTTATGAAACCTCTCATTTTCTAAAAATGCAGGTTTTATTCCATATACTTTTGACACTTTGACGTTTTCAATCTGTAATAGTGCTCAACTAGACCCAATATTTAAAATTGCTTGTTGTAGGCTTTTTACACCCCTATTCTGCATATCACAATATTAGTTGCTGTTATAATCAGTCACATTTATTCATGCTGTGTGAGAGAAAAACAGCACAGTTCAACATTGATGAAATAATTAACACTTAATTCCAAGAACCATTCCTACTATATTATGATACAAATTTAAGAGATTTATGAATGTGTTAGAATTGTAAAGTTTTCCGTTTAATGAAAACATTAGGAAATGTGACTTCAAATGGTTGCTACAGAATATTACAAGTTTGAATTTAACTGCACACTTTTGCCCAATTCATGCACTATAGAACCTCATTATTTTGGTTTAGTAGATTAATAATTAGATATCAGATTAGCATTAAGTTTTATTTTCTCAGTCATAGAGCATCCAAGAATAGAAATGATAATTAATTTAACACTTCAAAATATACTCATGTGCATGAAAATAACTGTAACTGATGCAAAATGGGAGAAAACATGGTCTTTGTAAAAGCAGTGTTTGTTCTTTAGTTATGAATGTTTAAATCAAATCTGGATTTTATGTATATGCTATTATTATTAAATTTAAATGAAATACATGTATATGCTTAGAGCAAATATTCACTTATTTTTAATGTGTCAAACAATTTATGGATATTAAGAGTTCTGCAGAAAATTCAACTCTTTGAAACCATCCATGCAAATGGGAAAACAAAGAAATTTCAGCAAGTACTTCTGTAATGACAGGAAATAATAATAGGCATTATCTAACTATTAAGTAATAACGATAAGACTTATTCTAGAATTAAAATTATTTAATTTCCTGAATGCTTTAATATAAGTCTGGCTACACTCTTCTGTGTGAAAGACCACAAGCCCTTTGCCTGACACACAAACTTTTAAGCCTCCTTATTTTGCAATAAATAGTTAAAAATTAAAAAATGGGCTGTAACTTTAGCACTCATTTTTCATAATTATTATAAGACCAGTATATTCATCTTTTTGATTAGCAGCAAGTTCACTCCTATTTCTTTGTTTTTGAATGTTGAAAAATTAAAATATCTAATTATTGGTAGCTCTTTTGATATTGGAATGTGTGAAAGTTTAATTTGTATACAGCTTTACGTACTGAAACTTAACAAATATGCAAGTACTCTTATTAACCAGGGAAAAAAAAAAAAAAAAAGTGTCCACATTTTTAAGTGACTATAGTGTTTTTTAATCTTAATCAATGAAAATCAATTGATATCATGGATGATGAAATAAAGAATGAAAATATATTTTATTTAAGAAGAAATTGGGATAATGTATTAGTCAATGTCTTGTAAGAAACACTACTTATATTATGCTTCATAGATATGACTAATTCCTAATATGTGGAGTAATTTTCAGTAAAAAATAATTCAACAATGGATAATTTTTTTTCCCAGACTTTATTCAGAATACATAATAATTATTTTACAAAGTTTTTATTCATCTTTTATTTCTGAAAATAAAGACATATCAGATAAAATTCCTTGACTAGAGTATAAATATTATTATTCAACCATATTACTCAAAAATTTATGAGTTTCAGTTTCAGAAAATTCTCCTGGCAGAGCTTGCTCTTGACTTTTTAAATACATACCAGATTCCTGCCAATCGTTTACTGAAAAATAAAGAAGACTAAATTCAATTGTGAAACAGCCAAGATCACTGAAAACAATGCACTATTCATTTTGCAAACATAAGCCTGAAATATTAAAAATGATCAGATTGAGATCAGATATGAGTTTATTTATGAACAGAAAAATTTGCAGTACTTGCATACTATCCCATTGGCCATGAAAATTGGTGCAGAACCACTAATCATTCCTGAGGAAATCCTTCACAGTCAATGGGATGAAGTGTTAAGTACAAATTCTCTGATTCCTCTTTAAAAATAAGAGAAAATTTTGGCATGTAGGTCCCCGAGAATGCATTGTTAACATAAAATGAACTATTCTCTATTATCCACAATTGGGGGTATCACCCTGGCCAAAAGGGTTCATTGTTGCCTACTTTAACAATTTTCTCTTATACTACCAAGTTACATACAAACATAAGCATTTTTATTTGTTTATTGGCCATATAACATCATTACAAAATAAAGCAAACTAAAAAAAAAAAAAAAAGTGTTTTTATAGAAACTGTATGGCAACAGATGAATTGCAAAATATTTGTCCATTATACTTTATATTTTTCAAGCATCATCACCAAAGGAATGGAATGCTGTCCTGAAAAACATTTTTCTTAATTTAAATTTCTTTAAATATATCAATCACTTAAAATTATATGCTTGTATATCAATTTCCGGAATTCAGTTATATTAACTGGCGTATTTAAACTTTGATTTTTAATCCTCTGATAAGCATAGTAGCATACTAAAACACCACAGCTCATATTATCAGTTTGCAAAATATGTGAAGGACAAATTATTTTCCATTTAGTGCTAGTAGCAAATATTTTAGCTAAAACCTCACACCATGTATGAATTAAAATTTGATACTCTTGCCCACATGATTTATTTTGTGGATCATAAAATTCAAAAACCATATCTGGAATATTTACTATTATTAATATCCAATGACAATTTAAATTTGCAGGGATAAAAAAAAATAATTTCGCTGATTTCAATCTTGTTAGTAATGGATCTTTAATACAAAAATTTGGTTTAGGAATTTGTAAATTAGACTTAACAAAGGCAAAATCTTCATAACTGTTTAATATTTTAAATAAAAAAAAGCATCAATTATAGTATTATAGAGCCATCCTTTTCGAAAACATGAAGATACAGATTTAAACAAGTGTTCTTCTTCATTACTTATAAAAGGATCTATATAAACATATATGGTGTAATTTCAATATCATGTATTTTTAAACATGATTTGGTCAAATCTTTATTCATTCTAACATTTACTGAAAAGTTTTGCTCTGCTGATGATAAATTTATCTTTTCCTGTGTACAAGGTGGAACATTCTCAGTTAAAATATTATAAATAAATTTTCTAAATTGAAGGGTATCTAAAGGAAGATTTAAGGCTAATTTATTTACATGTTGAAATGCATAATAACAGATGAAGACCCCACAACTGCTTTCATCATTTTGTAAAGCATGCGGTGGACACTGAATATCCCATGAACCGTTAATTTGTAACTCACTGTTAATTACATTAGACCATTTAGTTAAGTTTATGTATTTTGGATTGCATGAATTTATTAACGAGTCATATAAATAAAAGGTATTTTTCTTTAAATCTGCTATGATCAGAACCCAATGAGAATCAATGCAAGCAGGAATCAATAAATATTTGAAAGATTTCAAAGAAACAGGAAAAACATTTCCAAGTGATAATGCATCAGATATAAGATAAGCTGGGTAATCGAGGAATCAGCAAAAGTATATTGATCATCACTTTCTAAAATTTTGTATAAAAATGCATTTATGATTACATCAAATAACCACCCCCCTAACAAAATCTGTACAAACCGATTTTATAAAAAATTCTTCACTTTTACTGATATAAGAATCTAAAGACTTTAAAGCAATACGATTGATACTATAGCAGCCAATTTGTAAAATTCTTTCAGAAATATCTTCGCTAGACTTTAATGGAAGGGAAAATGATTTATTTTGATCAACACTGGTTAAATCACATAGATATTTATCACTGTCATTTAAATCAAATGCTACGGCTTTAAATTTAATTTTCTTTTCCACACATTCATTTATTTCTGGGTCATCTACATTATCATTAAAATCTTGATTCTTATTCTGCTGACATTTCTGTAATTTTCTCTTTTTAGAAGTTTTAAACAATTAAAATTGTGGGTTAAGTTTTTGATTTGGTGCAACTGGACATGATGCACTTGAAACTGCTCTTGAATTTTCATTCGAGTTTAAAATTCCTCTACATTCTGAAACTAATGAATTTAATGTTGTATGAACACACTTTAACATGACATTTTGGACTTTTGGTTGTCTTATTAATTGCAGTAATTCTTCTACAAGCTTTTCACATGCATTTACTCTCTGTTCAATACTTTGTGGATTGTAATGATTAACAGAATACACATTTATTGATTTCATACTTTCATTGCATTTCTGATTCGATTCAAGATTAATCCCCGAGGGATTAAACACACAATCATTTTGTCTATTAAGGAATGAATGCACTTTATGTATATGTTTGCACAGCAATTTATCTAAGCAATTGCAGTGATACAAGTGACTACACAATGAGACACATGATACTTTAGGGCATCTATAAAAGCAAAAATCCTGACACGGACAAATTTCAAAAAGACGCTGCACAGTATATATTTTATTTTTTGTCTGAGAACAAACAGTCCAAGAAGTATCAGAGCATTTATTTACATCACTGTCCCTAATTTTTAGTCCTCTCTGATGCCTACTTAAACAAGAAATGGAATTTCTGGGAGATACATTAGTGTATAATTTATAGGTATGATTTAAATATTTATCTTTCTCAATTGTCAGAAGTGTAGAAATTAAAATATCTAATCGTCTATTATGTCTCCGCTTAAAATAAACAGTTTTCAACTGATTGTGAAAAGATTCACAGTACATGTTAGTATCAGTAAATGCATGTGGAAAGTTCCGATAACACAAAGCCCATTCCTCTAATCTATTTTTATAATTTTCAGAAAAATATTCAATAAAATCTCTACTTTTCCTAGAATAGTCATTCAAAAACTTACTTATTTGATCATGAAAAGTGATCTGGTTTCTTTCATGTAATATATTTTGTTAATTCTCCTAGCATTTTTTGTCGCACTTCCTTATCTACCACTTTAGAATTTAGTTGTGCCGGAACCAACTTTGGCGTACGTGCCACGAACATAAAAGATGCTTAACATCTTGACCAAAAACCTTTGAAAATGCAGGATATGTAACTTTGTCATCATCTGTCATTACACAGTTTACATATAAATTTGGTACACGACACTTTAAACTATTAAATAAACAATAAAGAGTGTCAGCATCTAGAAAATTAGTAATAAAATGAGCAACTGGATAGCCACAACCAAATTCATCAGGTACTATAAGATTAAGAAGGTAAAAATCATACTGGTTAGTCTTATGTGTAGAATCGATACATAAAATCTCTGTACAACCTTTTATCATCATTTCTTTCTGTTCACGCGTCTGAAGACCAAGAGCAAACGATACTTTATGATTTGGAAGATTATCTAGATCAGTTGGACCGTACAAAGTTGAATTATTCTGAGGCTTATATAATAACACAGGATTGTATGCTTCACATTTTAAAGTTTCAATGATTGAATTAACAGAAACTGCATCACTACTTGGACGCAATGAATTGTTTAAATATCTAGAATAAGCAGAAATAGTTTTACGGGAGACAAAGCTTTCCTTTACAGGGAAATTATTTCTATTCTCGCGATTTCCTGATCCATCTTGTAAGATATCCCTTATTTTTTGTGGAGGCACAGATAAACGTAAATTTGCTTTTATGCTTTTATCAAACACCGCGTACTTTGTTTCAATGGCTGATATTTACAATTTTCAAACTTTTGCTCATGATTATGTTTAGGAAAGTAAAAAACAGAGATTTTATTCATTTCTTCACAAGCCCATATTCTGACCTGGACAACATACACTTTTTGAAATTGTACCTTTTTCATTTTTCCGACTAGTTTTTTTTTTTCAAAATCAGAATAACCTTGCGTGGTAAACTGACAACAATAATAATGATAAGTTTTAGAATTTTTCGTTACTTTAGAAAACTTTCTGAATGAAGTAAATGTCGAGGTTCCTTCCAGTTCTAGCCAATCTTGAAAATAACTCATTGTTTCAAATGAATATTCTTTTAAGTTATTTAAATTATGTTCATCTGCTAAATGCTTATTAAAATTTAAAACATATGTAAAAGACTTATGGCAATCAGGTATGAAGCATACATACAATTTATTAACTTCTGTGCAAAATTTCTTATGTTTAAAAAATGATAATTTGCAAGGATAACATTTATTACAATTTAGACATTTCCGAGGGTAAACAGATGAAAAATTTTGTTTTAAATCAGGTACTTGTTTATTTGAACATTTTTTTTTTTTTTTTTTTTTTTTTTGTGGTTATAAAATGAATTCTTCGATTTATAAGTTTTCAAGCATATTTCACATTTACGAAGATAAGCCATTTCTATTTTATCACTAATACATTCTTTGGTTTCTAATTTTTTAGCACTCAATACATTATCAATGTTTATAAGAATATTACTCTGAGGAGAAGTTATTGAAAGTTTAAAATTTTCAGTTTCAAGTTTTTCTTTGCAATTTTTTTTATGATTATTAAAAGAATTTTTAGTTTTATAGTTTTTTTTTTACAAATATCACATTTTCTAGGATAAAGCGATGGTGCATTACAGTCAATTTCGGACCCCCCCCCTCCAGTCAGAATAGGACACATAGACTTTTTCCTCACTTGACAATTAATTTCACTGCTTTCTACATGATCTTTTAGTAAACAAAATTTATTAAAGTGAAAGAAACTTAGGCCTGAACTACAAGAAGTGCTTTTTCTGGTCATAGAAATGTTCTTTTGCTGCAAAACATAACTAGAGGCAAAGTCAGAGTAAAAATCATCTTTTGTTGTACACAATTTAGGTTGTGAAATATCAAAATTTGTTGAATCATTTTTTAAACTCCCTTTGCCACTAACAGAAGCACAATACAATGGATAACAATCACTGAAAGAAACAGCACTTGCCTGCTGTACACTACAACCAGCAGCAGTGACTGCATTCTTTAGTGATGATCCCATGTAGGCCATTACACTTCTTAGGCGCAAAACAGCTGAAGCAGCATTCTTCAGATGCAAACTGCCACTAACAGTCAAATCCCTCCTTGGACACACAAACCATCACCAAAAGCACGAATTGGTTTCTTCTGAAAACTAGCAATTGGGACAGTAGTGTTCGTAGAAGAATTAACAGTGGAACTAGCACTGCTCCTCAGAAAACGGCCAGAACCATGGACTGCAAACACGCCTGGAGGAGTCAACATCAGCAAGGATATCATTCATTTCTATGACAGGGGCTGGGAGTGACGTTATTCCTTGAATGCAAACCAGAAGCAGCATTCTTCGGATGACAGCCAGTACCACACGGACACCAACAAGTCTAGAATGACAGCCAACACCGGGAATGACA